CAGGTAAATGAAATGAATAATCAAGCCATTATCAGCGCTAAGATCATTATATTATTAGCTTTATTGATCTCTCCATAACTCTACTCTCTTTCTTCAGCCTTTAAAACCTAACTAGATAATTTCTAAGTTACTTATGGCATGAATTTCAACTATATAAAGTCCTAATTTTCAAGTGTCTCTGGGTAGCAAACAAATAAATACAGGAGAAAATATGGATTAAAGAAAATTGTGGATTTCCTTCCAAACTGATGAAACATTTCCAATTCATACGAAGATCTAACGGACATAAGCCACACTGATGTAGTTGAATTTTACTCCAAAGAATAATCTGGAAAGGCTCCTGTGGAAAGTGTTAAAACAAAAGGTATAGAGATTCAATTCTTCTAGCTGATTGGGTAAATAACCAAGTGGCACCTGCCTCCAATAAGTAGAGCTTTTAGCTAATTACAGCAGCAGTAGAAGCTGTAATTGGCCGTTATCACATTGTTGATTTGATTTGCAACTAGCAGAATTAATTGATGTTTGAATCCCAAAGCACCCCCTAAGTACTAACCCTAAACTATCAAGTGTGACTCCTAGGGAAGTCTCACTTACAGCTGTGGAAGGCGCCTCGATTGAAAGTGTGGGGTATAAACGAGAATTGAAATGGGATGGCTTCCTCCCTCCAGTGGAAAAGCAAAGCAGTTATGGCAACACAGTGACTCCACATGAGCGTGGCTGTAGCTCTGTGGCACAGGTTGACAAGCAAACATGTGCCCAATTCTTAAATAAATCAAGAGGAACTTCCCTTTTAAGATTAATGATTTTCCCAAGTTGTGATTTTCTGTCAGTGTGACGAAGATCAAAACTTAATTGTTGGATTATATCTGCCATACTTGAAGTGTTTTGATTATTTTTTTAATTTTCTTTAAAAAAAAATAAGAGCTTTAATATTTGAAAAATTCTGCAAAAAGATTCATTCTCATTTGTTTTTTAAAGAACTCCTTATGTCTGACAAACTCCAAGTACTGTAGACAGCTGGTTATTTTAAGTCCTATGTTTCAGTGTAATGATTTGCCTTTGAAAAAGACTCAAGATCAACAATCACGCCCATCTCGTCATTGCTTTTCCATAACACATTTGACTGCTGGCAAATCAGTTGAAAGATTTACCTACATGAAGTAAATGAAAATATACTTCCTGAGGAAAACTAGGAACACAGAAATGAAATAATTACTTTACTCTTTAGCAGTTGCGGCTAGTAAAGTTTTCTCCAGGGGGGGCTATCGATTAAAATAGAGGTATACCTCTATTTCTGGAGGATCTGGTTGGGTGTCCTCTGCGGGACATGTTGGCCCCGTCCCCGGGGGGCTTTTACTGGGGGTCGTCAGGGTGGATTACGGGTTAGGGGTTTGTGACCGAAGCATGAACTAGATGGGTTAGTGTGGCGGTGACACCACTCCCCTCCCCTCTATCTGGATTTTATGTTCACCTATTTGGTAATCCCGGGACCAGATTATTGGATGTGAGTGTTATGTGTGAATGTGCGTCTGCAATTTATTTATTCACATCACAGAGACGTGTTGCGAGTGGGGGCACTACTTTGTATATATATATATATATATATATATATATATATATATATATATAACTTTTTTTTTCACTTGTCAGGTTCAGGTCTGAACTGTTCCCTCTCTCAAGCACATTTCCAGTCTGCGCTAATTGCGTAGCACTGGGGTGCTTGGTGCTTGGGGGTGGAATTGGAATAGGATGGGTTCTTCCCAGTGTAGGTTCCTGCGATACAACTATTAACCCATATGCTAAACGCAATGTTTTTCTAAGAAAATATACAGCTTCAAAACAATGGCCAGTTTTGCAATTTTCTGCAGGCTATAGGTGGTTGTTGCCGAGCCTCTCAGACTTTAGATGATAATTAAGGGTTGTAGCTGTAACAGAGGAAGTTTTTTCTCTCTGAACAGTCTCTGGCCTCCAAAGTGCCGGTATTATTCTTTAATAAGGCCCCACAGTGCTGCCTTCGGCTGGGACACTGTGGCAGGTCAGTGTACAGCATATCTGCTCCATTAATCCACAGCCATTCATCACCCAGGAAATGCAGGGCAGTCCACACCTACAGGAACAAATAAAATGGACCTCAGAGATTTGAGAAAAAACACATTTCTTGATTCTTTGTAATGTAAGCATAACTTTCTAAAGCAATATTAACATATCACAGAATTTTCTTTTAGCATTCAATATCTTTTATCTTTAAATGATATAACATTGGGCAAATTACATGGATTGAAATGCAATTCTAAGAAAAGAAAAATCTACTTCCACGTATGGAAAAAAAAATGTTTTTGCTTCTGTCATGTAAATATAAAGAAATAAAAGGTGATTTAGATATGTTTTACCCTTTATTGCAAAAAGTTTTTATACTCTTCATCTATGAAATTTGCATTTTAATTTCCTACTCCCAACTTATTCGTTCCTGTGTACTCTACACAATAATCTATGCAAAAGTTACTACTTATAAAGACATTAACATTTCCATAGTGGATGAACCTATTAGTGGTGAAAAAAGAAATACTACGGTATCGCAACTGTGAAGGCCACTATTTAGAAATTAAAAAAACATGGAACAGTGCTCCTTTTCAGGAGTAACTGGTCTATTAAAATTATTAAGAGCACATAAACAACTCTTACAGGAATTCCCAGAAGAACCCAGAACAACCTTTAAATTACTATAGTCATCATAAGCCAGTGAACACCAGATATCTGTTTCAAATATCAAAACTTATTTCATGCCCTAAAACATCTAATTGTGATAAAAATTAAAACTGTGTGAATAACATTTACATGGCAACAAAATGGCTTTAAAATGTATAATTTCTGTCTTTAGCTGTTTGAAATTATTCATATTTGCCACCTTGCTGGACAAGATAATCTACTTCAAAAAATGCATAAGATCAACATTTCCTCCATTCCACCCACCTCATCAGTGTCAGCCTCTGTGATTTCCTCTGTCATATAGGTGTGTTCATTTCCAGGTTGCACGCTCAACAGATTGAAGTGAGGATTGCTGTCAGAAGATGATCCAAGGCTGCGGCAGTGTTCAAAGGCCTCCTCCCAGCTCCTTTTTTCCTTTACCAGGACTATATTTTCTGTTATGCAGAGGAATGGAAGCACAGTCTTGCAATCGTTGGCAGCCAGCTTATTCCTCAAAGAAGACATGGTTACACAGTTGGTGGGATTACTCAGAATATCGAAATTCTGCATATTGTTCCATGATCCACCTGCAGAAAGCAAAGAAAAAGTGGTCCATCTTACAACTAGGCTTAAAAATAAAAAGTTTAACTAACTTTTAAATTAAAACTAACAGCATTATCTGTTAAATTTCTGGCCGATCAGCATTTTTGCAAACCTCTGCAAGTGGCCAGGTGCAAATCAAAGGTGCAGCGTGTTTAGGATGTTACAAAAATGTTTATTTTCTCCAGCCTGCCTTACCTGGCAGGCGGGGGTTGGTGTTGAATAAATTAGTTACTGTTCTGCTGCCTGTGTCCCTCCTCAAAATCTAATGGCCAAAGTAGCCTGGTCTGTCCCTCTCTCTGACATGCGTGCTGCCGCTGCACCGGCAGTCTTAAAAAAAAAAAAAAAAAAGAGAGAGAGAAAGAGGGAGAGAGAGAGAGATGCAGGCTAGCGGGCCAATCCCAGGCCTGCGCTTCAGTAATGATCCCGATTCTCCCTATGGTCTGTCCGGGTATATGGGTCACATTTGCTTGCAAAGTTAATGTATCTTTAGAAAACAGCCAAAAAAAGAACAACTGCTATCACTGTGCCCAGTTGGTGCAAAAAGACCCATTTTTCCTTTAAACGCAGAGCAGAAATTGTCTGGGATGTAAGGAACTTTGCCTAACATCCCAGTACCTGATTTTAGAAAGTGGACATGCTGTTCACTGGGCAAATGTGCCCCATTCAAGGTAAGGGGGAGCGGGTAATCCCTGCTCTACGTACTGTAGACTTGTCTTGGCTGCTATTTTTTTCCAGGACAGAGGAGCACCGCTGCTCAAGGAAAAGAATTTGTGACTCTAACAAGTAATAGTATTACAGCAATGTGGAAAGCTAGGAAAAAAAAGTTTAACTTTGCATAATATAAGACCTTTAACCTGAAATCTAATAGACTAATACGATTAATCTGGTTCACTATCAATCATTTTTAAACAGCAACTAGAAGCATTTTTCTTACCATTTACTAGAAGCTTGATCCAGATGGGAAAGTCCTGCTCATTAAATTTATTCATTTGCTCCTCTGTAAAACGTGCCAAACCATTATAGTTAGAATTCCTGCAGTAATTCTCTGCCTGATCCCTACTCATCATCTTGTGTATGATAGGGAAGGCTGCGAGGTTTTTACGCTGACATGCGACAAACCGATTTTCTTGACAAAATTTTCTCTCAACCCTTAAAGGAAACATAAATCAAAGATTAAAAAAAGTTAATGTTGTAAACCATCATGTGAACATTTACAAAAGCATTGTAGTTACCTGTGATAGAAAAATCATATTAGGATGGCTCTATAAAAACTAAACACATTTTACAAGCTCTAAATCCTCTTTACCTAAAATTTTATATCATTCTATCAAATGTATGTATGATATGCAAAAATACTAAGGGAATATGGTGCAATAAATTTTATGCTGATCCTGTCTGAAGGATGCAACACATATTGATTCATCAGCTACTGTTTTTTTTTTTTTTTTTTTTTACATATTTTTGTTTATTCTTATAATTTGTTTCAAGACAGAAATGTGTTAAATTCCTCTTCTAGCTGTGGACTCAACTATTAATTCAATAGCTAACACAGTTATCACACAAGTAAATAAAGTTTATTGTAAACCTACTAAAACTAACACCACAACACATTCTCAAGCTATATATAGACAATCTGGATTTTTGAACATTTTCTTCTTTACCAAATTACTGTCAAAGAAAGCATATTAATAATAGATGAAGGCAATTACAATAATGGGAAAGACTTCTAACTCCTATTTGTTGGTTGGATAACTGAGCTTTACAACACTGCTTAATATCTAAAGCTAAGTGCAAATATCAATTTATATTTAACTTGGGAATTATTTATATCACATGGGTCATTGGTCAGACATCATGTGACAGACAAATGCAATGTAGTTAAAAGTTTAAGGTGAAAATAAAATAAAATAAAACAGTTTTATTAAATAAAAGCGAGTGTAAAATCATACAATATACACACCCAAAAAAGATTTGCAGGTTGTAACTGTTGTTAATGTCTCGTAGCGACGTTATTTAGGGTTTGAATCCTGGCCTGGGGTCTTATTTACTTAAGCATAGTGTGAAATCCATGCTTAAAGTGTACATAAGCTAAACACCCGAAAGAAATGCCATTTATAAAACTATCTGTTTACACAAAACCATGCAAATGTCCTTTATAAAGCACAGCGGCTTTGGTTCAAGCCTCCAACTCGTGTTTTGGCCTTTTCCTGTCCAACATTCAACCATAAAAGGTCCATGAATTTCACTGGGTATTTAAATAAGAAAGAAAGATGATTAAGAATATTTAATGGTTAACAAAGGTAACCGCAGCCATGTCAGTGGAAAAAAAAAAATTTAAGCCAAATGATTATGTTTGTGTGAGTAAGATAAATATATTTGGTAGCCACAGTATACTGTTATAGTTATTTTAAATTACGCCTTCTCTCTCTGGAATGTGCACATCATTATGGATGTTGATCTTAAGTTTCAGCTATACATTAGGTGTGCAGATACAACATTTTCATTTTGTGATACAATACTGATACAGTAGTAGCCCTTGGCTGGTCCCCAACAATTCCTTTTTAAACATCAATCTAAGACTAAAATATTCTTTCTGTCATGATTTGTAGCATTAAGATCTGAAGAGAAGCACCATCTCCTGGACAGATCCTGTAATCCATTGAAAGGGTGGAGTCAGAGTCAAGTAAATATAAACGCCCAGGAGAAGGATGGGGTCACTCCGGCGGCGGGTGCGGGGAAGTGGGCTGCCATTTGGCTGGCGTTTGACTGGGAAGAGCAATTTTGAAAGGCTGCTTCTGTATTACAGCTTTGATAATTGACCAATATTCGTATTGAAACGATACCGCATTAGCATTATTCATACATGCTTTTACAAAATATTTTCTAGTGCAAAATGTCAGAAATGGCTTTATCAAGTGATGGTCACCAAAAATACTTATGAAAACACTTGACCCATTTAAAATTGAGCAATGGTTGCAGTAACAGAAACAGGGTGTTTCTTTTGCCATGTCAATATTGGAGATTTAAGTTACAGGCCGCTATAATCCAATATTCGATTTCTGGCTAATACTGGACTGATATGCAACATAAATATTGGATTAGGACACCCCTAGTTTCAGCCTATCACTTCTGTGTTTTGGCCAGATGTACCTATACCCCAATGGAAGAAGCAGGAATTTACCATCCTAGGGGTGGCACTGATTCCCCAGGATGGAAAGGGCTTTGCTAAGAATTCTGAGCTGGTAAAAAGCAGGGAGGTTAATACCAGCAATTTTATTTGTACTATGGCTTGCAGTCTATTTTTGTTCCTGCAGGAAATAAAGCTGAACAAATTAACAAAATGAAATAAAAGTATGGATTTAATGAAACAAGAATAAAACACTCCCATAAAACTGCTGTCAATATTAAAGCAATAAGACCCAAGAAGCTGTGGATAATATATATTACAAGCCCTCCACTGCTGAAAAATTCCTGTAAATTACAGGAAATTGGATTATCTCTGTTATAAAACCTTACATATTGCCCATGAAACAAAGAACAATAAACACCCAAACACACACACACAAATGAAAAATGTTTTCGAATAAAACAAACTCTGCCACCAAGGCGATCTGGACTCATTAATGTTTTCTACTTGCACTGGTCATTCAGCAATGATCAGGAATTGGCCAATTTTCAAGTCATCAGTCACAATTGGCAACCGGCTGGTTATTATGAAGATGACTTATTTCAAGTGCTGGTGATTGCGTTTTTTGATTAGTTTTTTTCTTTCAGCGGAAACGCATCTCTCTCCTACGTTTGGTCCATGTTTGTGAGAGAGCACTAGAACTGGGACAAGGCGGCCTACCGCCACCACTATTTCCAAAGGTGTCAACAAGAGAAGTTAAAGTGATTGACATGTTCATGGTGACAAAAAAGGGTGCCAGAAATTTAAACAAAACAAAGACACATACAGTAAAAGGTTTCATAAATAGAGATAAAGTTTTTAATTTTCAAAACTGAAGAATATTCTCACATTACCTTTTCGTGTAGTGGTTTTCGTAGTGAATTGCAGCACATTCTCTTTCGTCATCATTTTCGAAAATGAACTCAACAGTTTCTCCATCAGTCCAGACCCACTCCCTACTTGTTGTGTTTCTGTGCAGATCGATCCAGGCAACATAGCTTCTCAAGTCTATATTCTTTGCATCTTCCTTGCTGTAGATCGTGGCCAAGTCCTTGTGATGCCTATAAACACAAAGTGTCAGATGTGGTTTTTGTATTATCTTTGGACAAATATCTGAAATTTATTAGTTTAGGGGTTTTCCCAATTTTTTGTATTTCTTTTTGAATAAACTATTCTAACGAATTAATATTTGTTAACCCAGTAAAAATGGAATAGAAAGTTACTGCAAATTAAAATCAGAAGACAGAAGGAATATTCCTTGCATGAAACTAAATATAGTGCAATGAATTTCAGAAAAGAAAAAAAAAATGGCTGCATTTCAGTTCAAGAAATAACAATTTGTTATCTTTGCAGTTGGTAACCAAAATTTTGTTGACATAAGAAAAGCTTGGAGATCAACCAAAAAAAAGGATGAACTAATCAGCATTAGAGATTTTTTCCTTGACAATATAGATATTTTTTTTAACTAAATTAAAGCTATGACCTATATGATTAGAAACTCAACCAAAAAACATCTGGTTCAAGATTTTGAGAAGACTGAAGGGATTTTTAAAAATCTAATTGAATGATGGCTGATTTTTGTTCCATCAATAATAATTATTACAGAATAAAGCCATTAATACAAAAATTACCTTCTGCAGTAACGTTGTGCATTTTCCCAGGTGTGACCATCTTTTCTAAGTACATATTTTTTGTCCAGCACTGATCCAAGTCCTGTTGTGCTGGGGAAGAAGAGGAAAATCAACAGTCCAAAGAGGCCTCTCTTCATCTTCAAACCCCCTTTAGCTTTTTCTCCTTTTCAGAATTTTTTTTTTTTTTTTTTAAACATCAATTTAAAAGCACACTGGCAGATTTTTTTGATATTTTTCAGGCTCAACAAACTATAACTGTCTCCTGTTTTTTTATGGCTGCGTTTATTAGGTAGCATACTCTGTCTTATGCTGTAAATGTGGCACAGATTCCACCACAAAACCGCCTTTAATGTCATTTGCATAGCCAACACCAACGATAGGCAAATCTTCACATCCTTTTGTTGAAAGCCTCTCCCGGAAATATTTGCCTGAAGGAAAATAAAGCCATGAT